AAGATCCATCTAATAAATAAAATAAACCGGAAGTCAACATGTTTACTGACTTGCGTCATACTGATGTTTATATTGACCATCAATGAAAGCGTGGTATATAGTACTTTGTGAGAAAAAGCTCCCGTCATCAGTAGTTTAGCTGTGTACATAAAATTTAAGCTTTGCAGAAACTACCGTATATGGCAACCTTTCCTCTCTACTATGCTGGTTTTCTGCACTCAAGAAATGTAATAATTTGAATTGGACACTTCTGTACGCTTTGAGGTCTTCACTTGCGAAAAAGCTTGAATAAATAAATAAATAAAATTTAAAAAAAACAGTGAATTACAACTATGGTTACAAAATCTGGCGACACGGTGGCACAGTTGGTAGAGCTGCCACCATTCAACGAGAAAGTCACCAGATCAAATTCCGAACCGGGTGGAGTTTGCAAGTTCTCTCTGTACATGCATGGACCAAAACGCAGACCAAAAACATACGTTAGGCCAACTGGTAACTCTAAATTGTCCCTAGGTGAGAGTGAGAGAATGAATGGTTGTCTCGTTTGTCTCTGTGTGTCCCTGTGATGGACTTGCGACCTGTCCAGGGTGTCCCCCGCCTCTCACAAAGAGATGGCTGGAAATGGGCACCAGTGAACTCTGCGACCCAAAAAAGAAAAAGCGGGTAAAGATAAAGGATGGATGGATGGTTACAAAATCCACAATGACTTGGAGTGTTCATACATTTCCTCATATGCACATCTTCAATGGGGTCAAAGTCATTCAACAGCCTCAATTTCTGCAAATTTAGTTTATTGTCAGCTGGCTTAGGCATCTCTAAACATGTTAATTGTGTCTTGTGTTGCCTTTTACAGTTGTGGAGTCATCAAGCTCAGTAAGTAAATAAATAAATACGGCAAATAAAAGTTGTCCAGAGCCAAGTACATCCCTTAAGCCCTTTGATTGTCTTCCAATATGGCAGAGCTTGATGATGTCATGTTGCCAGGTCTGTGGTAGTTTCCCCAATTTGTTCATCACTGGTGCTTCGGTTTTATTTAATTCCTGGCTTTCTAACCATTTATTATTATTCATACCCCACATAAAGTTCAAACTGTCTAAAATGTTGTTTACTGTCCCCTTCTTTTACATTGTGTACAGACTTTGTTGTGTACAGCGTGTGCTAATTAACATATTATTTAGCATGCGAGTCTGCTCATAAGCAGTAAATTATTTATTTAGTCATTTAAACAGCTCACAGTTAATTCAGCTCAGTCAAAACTGGCTGAGATGATTGAAATTTTCTCTCTCTGTTGTGAAAAAGGTTAATGGTTTTTTTTTTTCTTTCTAACATTAGCAAGAAAATGCTAATTAAAAGTGTATTAAATTTCTTCACCTCTGCAGTCCGGAGCGAGGGCGGCTTCATCAACGCCAGCGTGAAAGAAGTTTCCATGGCTCCGGTCATTTTCATTACTTCGGTTCAGACCCACGTCAGGTCTTAACTCCTTCTAAAAGTCACTCTCACGCCTCCACGCTGCCCTTTATCCGAACAAGGCTGAAGACAGTCATATCTCCGAGGATTTTGTACTCGCCCCGCCGAGCATCTTAGTGGAGTTTAACCCAAACGAACCGACCGGGAACTCCTTTTACTGAAGAGGGAGAGAAAAAAAAAACTTCACTTTCACTCGTTGTTACTGCTCGTCCGAAAAACTGTAAAAGACGCTCAAGTGTGACAGAAATCCAAGAATGTGCGACCTGCCGGGCTGATTTCGGCACATTTTTAATAAAAATAAATATCCAGTTTGGTAGTTTGCGTTGGTCATGTCCAGGAGTTCAGATTTTTAGATCCCTGCTCCGACAGAGCGGAGAGTTGACGACATCTGTCCGGACATGGTGATGCGTTCAAATATATCGGAATCAAGAGCTCTATGTCGACCTGCGTTCATAAGAGCACATTATGAACTAATCTAAAGAAAATATCTAAAAGAACATGACTACACAAATACAACGACGACTTTACAGCGTTATATGAATGTTTTTTTTTTTAGTGTTTTTATACAAAATTGACTGTTTCGTTTTCCTTGAGTTTTACACCTTTAGTACGTCTTAAAACAGCTTATTATAAACTGACAAATTATTCCGTAAGTATTAAAAAAAAAAAAAAAAAAAAAAAAAAAAACACTAACCATATAATCACTTCTCACCCTGGACGTATCAAAAGGCTAAGTCAAGCTACACTATTGATATTACCCTGATGTCAGTGAATGCAGCACCTGACTCAGATTTTGGTTGATATGGCGCTCAATATCTTCTTGATTTTTATTTTAAACGGAAAAGAAAGGAGGACACTTCTCAGGAGTTTGTCATAATTAAAAGCTTGACCTAATCTTTGATGCCTTCGGGGCATGTTATGCGTTTAATGACAAGAAAATAAAATTACAGCTGTTAGTGCTTACATTCATGTGTATTCCCTCCGCAGGGACACTCCTTTCGTTTTTTTTCTTTCTTTATTGCGTAACTGCGGTGAGTTCATGTACGCTCGTAATTTTACCTCCTGCGCCACTAAAGAGGTTAAAAATATATGGGACTGGAGCGCGAGACTGGTGGTAAATTTAAATGTGGGGTCCAAATGGGGCCACTGAAAGCAAAACTACTAAATAGATGAACAAATGTTTTGTAAAGATGTCAAAACGATAGTTTATACCATACCATACCATACCAATTTATTTATATAGCACTTAAAACAGCAACAAGGCCAACCAAAGTGCTGTACAAAAGAACACAAACATGCACAGCAGACAGGAAAACATAAAATAGAAATACAGATACAAATAGCAGCAGGAGCTAACTAAAATGGCCAACAGAGTAGAGAACAGACCGGACCAAAACAAATCACACCGTGTTAAAGGCAAGCGAATAGAAGTGGGTCTTCAAGCGAGACTTAAAGACTGAGAGTGTGGGAGCCTGCCGGACACTCAGTGGCAACTCATTCCACAGTCGTGGACCTGCAACAGAGAAAGCCCTGTCACCTCTGAGCTTACGACAGGTTTCTGGGACTGAGAGAAGCATCTGGTCTGCTGACCTCAGAGAGCGCGGTGGGACATATGGCTGCAGAAGATCAGTGAGATAGGATGGGGCGGAACTGTTCAGTGATTTAAAAACATATATGAGAATTTTGAAATGGATCCGAAGGTGAATGGGTAGCCAGTGCAGGGAGGCCAAAACTGGCGTGATGTGCTCTCTATAGCCTGTACCAGTTAAAAATCTTTATGATATTTATGATATTAGTATTCTTCGGTTTCTTAACTTAAGGAACCAATAGGAAACTGTCGTTCGATTTTATGGCAGAAAACATTTCCAGAAACGTGTAAATTCTCAGCATATTTATTGCACAATGTTCCCAGAAAATTGGGACAAAAAAGAAAAAAAATATTCACGGTGAGACTGCATGGAAAAAAAAACATTTTGTACAAATAAATGGAAATAAATTGAGAATGTACAGTTTACACAAAACGGTTACACTTATGAGCAACTAAATAACTTATTCATATACAAAGATGGGGGGGAAGCAGTCTTATATGTATAAATAACAGCTTTCATGTACAAAATGTAGCAGAACATCTATATTTACACACAAGGATGTATTTTGTTAACTTTATGAACAAAAGATTAAAAAAAACATTCATGCTTCTCGTCTACTAAGACTTGGGTCATACTCAGGGTGCCATATAACAAATATGCTAAAAGCTGTCATTTTCTTGGGTTACATTGCCAGTCTTATCTATTTTTTTTTTTTTTATAGAAAAAGGTTTCCAAAAGTAAAATGTGTGAATTTCTCACAAGATGAAAATGTTTGCACCTCTTATAAAACAAAGGTACATTTGCTTGTTTCAATGCTGAGAAATGTGTGCATTAAAAACTTAAGATTGTTCTCTATCGTGACTAAATTTTTAAAGAAATCTTTAAACAAAAGAAAAGGAAACTGAGAAAATGATACCTATCATAAAATCATGCCCTATTCCCTGCAGTACAAATTTACCTTTTGTCCAAAAATAAGCCGAAAGATTAACTGGAAGTAAAAAATATATATATATTTAAATGCCAGTGTAATGATAATTTAAAAAAAACATTGCCTGTTATTAGTTTTATCTGTTGAAGTGTCATCAAAACAAACCTGAAAATAGTGTTAACCTGTACGTACACCCACAAAAAGACCAGCCATGCTCCTCTAATCTTCATTCTGTTCCAAACACTGAAGCCGTAAACATCATATAAAGGTGACGAAGATATAAAAATGAGAAAATACTTCAGCATTCTGGTTGCAAAATACATGGATAATGTAGGTTTTAACTTCTACAGTATAAAGGGACCCATCTCAGTCACAATGCGATGCAAAAATATGTATTTCTTTCACGAATTAAAAAAACAGCCTTCCCTTTTTCCCCCCAATAAACACAGCATAAAGTCTACACAGTTGACATTCCTTTGATTAAAATTTCTTATGAATCTACCTCGGGATTTTCTATGGGGCAGCCAAGTCAGCCACCGTCCATAAGAAGATTTGAGGTAGTGCTGTACCTATGATAACAACAAAGCCACCTGCAGCTCTTTTATTGTACAACTGAAAATCATGTCAAAATCTCACAAGTGACCAAAAAACGTCTCGTCAGGTGAGAACCTGATTCAGCCAAACTGAATTGTTGAGATAAGAAAGAAATCTGGTCTGTAAACAAGCATATAAAGTAAAAAACAAAAAAAAGACATAATTGGCATGGGATTAATAAAATACAGAAATATATACTTTTATGTTAAAAAAAAAAAACAAAAAAAAAAAACAAGGAGTCTATTCCTTCATATTGCCAAGTTAAAGATTGTACAGGGAAAATAATTTGTATTCGAGGAATTAAATCTAATCTGGATAAATTTTAAGTCTTTGGCTTTTGATTCCAAAAAGAAAAAAGTCTTGCTTTAAATGGAACATTGTCACATCACTGATGAGCCTCTTTGTCTCTACCTCCACCTGGTGGTCAGACATCCACATTGCTCCAAAGCCTGAGACTGATGTTCCCTACAGAAAACCACTAACGGGTGTGAAGCTGTGAAGCGTGGACGGCTGTTTTGGGGGACCACAGAGGCACCATCTGGGTCTGACTGGTCTGACTGGTCCTGCGTTTGGACCTGAGCGCTGGTGCAGTTTCATAGTAAGATCTGAGCAACGTAGGGGGAGTGAGTGCTGGCCACTGCAGCCAACAGGGGCAGGTCACTGGACTCAATTCTGCAAAGACAAAAGAGAAAACATGAAGGTTTTACTTGTGTGCTCGTCTTTTAAAAAGATCACAATAGTGTGAATGTTTATGAAGCATTCACTCTATTGTGATCCATTTATCATCCGTACGTTTTTCAGCATCTTTCTCATTCCCACAATTGCTGTGCCATTTCATCAAATCATATCAAAACGTTCAGCTCTTTCGGGACAATTGATATTGGTGCAACTTTAGCTTTTTGAAATATTTAGCCTTGTGCCACTTTTTTTCCTCAATGAAAATTAATTGAGCTCATTTTACATCCTTCAAATCTTTAGATCTGTTTACAACCTTTTACTGCTCCTTTCACATTTTGTTCTGCTTCAGCTTCTTTCAGCTTCATTGGGCAAATTTAAACTTTGTTTCAGATACTTTCAGCTGTTTTGTGATCCCTTTAGATTATTTCTGCTAACAAACATTTTTGTGCTTTTAACTCATTTTTGCTAATTTCAGCTTGTTATGCTCCTTTCAGCTTATTTATGCAAGTTTCAGCTTTGTCCGTTATTTCAGCTACTATTTATTCATTTCTATGCTAATTTTAGCTTTTTTGGCTAAATTCACATTTTTTGCACTCATTTGAACTTTATTCAGCCTAATTCAGCAAAAATGTGCTCTCTCCACTCCCTTCTGGTAATTGAAGCTTCTTTCTGCTTTTTAAGCTACATTTCAGCCTTTTTTTTCCCCCCAAATTTCTGCTTTTTTCAGATAATTTCCACTTTTTGTGCTCATTTCTGCTTCTTTAAACCTAACTGGGCAAACGTGTTTGTTCTGCTTCTGCAAATTTAAGCTAATTTAATTTAAGCTTGTTCTACATTTTCAGCTACCTTTTTTGCATCGTTCTGTTAATTTCAGCTGTTTTCAGATAAATTCCATGTTTTTGTGCTAATTTCTGTTACTTTCAGCCTTATTAAGTTATGTCTGCTAATTTCAGCTTGTTATGATCCTTTCAGCTTATTTCTGCTAGCTTCAATTATTTCAGCTAAAATTTAGCCGTTTTGTGCAAATTTTAGCTTTTTCAGCAAATTTCTGATTTTTTTGCAATAATTTCAACTTTTTTCAGCTTAATTCAGCAAAAACGTGTTCTTTACACTTCATGCCGATAATTTAAACTTCTTTCTGCTTTTTGTGCTATTTTCAGCTTTTTTCAGATAATTCCACTTTTTCGTGCTCATTTCTGATTCTTTCAGCCTAATCGGGCAAACATGTTCTTTCTGCTTTCTTCTGCTAATCTAAGCTTGTTCCAACTTTTCAGCTAGTTGTTTTATAACCATTTTTTAGCTAATTTCATGAAACGTTCAGCCTAATTAACTGCTTTATGCTCATTTCCACTTGTTATGCTCCTTTCAACTTTTTTCTGCTAGTTTCAGCTTTTTCTGCTCTTTCAGCTACTATTTAGCTCTTGATGCTAATTTTAGCTTTTTCAGCTAATCCCACATTTGTTTAGCTCATTTCAGCTCTTCTGCTTCCTTCTGGGGTAGTTTTAAGCTTCTTTCTGGCTTTTCAGCTATGTTTTGCTAATTTCTGTTTATTTAAACCTAATTCAGCAAATTTGTATTTGCTTTCTTCTGCTAATTTAGGCTTGCTCTTCCATTTTAGAATGTTTTGTAGCTAATTTCAGCTGTTTTTCTTATGCAATAAGCATTCGCACTGCATCTTCGCAGGAAATGCAATTTTTCTAGTTAACACTTTGGATCCCCTGCTGACAGAAAAATAAAAAGTTAACTGCTTACCCTAAGACCATGCCCAGTTCTTTCACATGGACTCTTGTCTGGCCCTTCAGATATTCAGCAAGCATTTTACTCTTAAAGTAGATCTCCTGCAGTCGGTCCTCAAGGTGCATTATACACTAAATGGGCGATAAAGAAAAGAACAATTTGTTATTAAAGATTACAGACACATTAGCTATAAAACTTTAGAAAATGTATTGGAAAGACAAGACAGCTGACGTACAAAATTGGGTGAGAGGTTGAGTTTGTAGAGCTGGTACGTGGACTGTAATAAGGTTGAGACCAGGTTGGACACCAGAACTTCTTTCCCCAGCCTGTTCACATCTGTGGCTCGTCTCTGACTGCTGGCCACCTGCACTGTCCACTTGTCTGTGTCTGCTATAATGCAGACAGCCTCGGCTATGGGCTCATCCAATACAGGATGCTGCAGAGGGAGAAGATGGAAACTTGATCGAGTGAACACACAAACAGAAATAACTATTCTCTCTTGTTTTAAACCACTCAGTGACACGTTTGTGACTTGATTCACACTCAAAGACAGAATTGAGTGTTGCAGCATTTATTAAAGTCTATTATTTTTAATAGATTTATGTGTTCATTCATTCATAGGTTAAAACTCCCACACACTGAATATATTAGATATCCCATACCACTTTATTTATAAAGCACTTAAAAACAGCAACAAGGCCAGCCATAGAGCTGGTATTTCTTTACTTCTATTAAAAATAAACTCTTTAATGTGATTTGGCAAGTAAAGAATTGGCATCCCAACAAATACGGTAAAAATGTTCATCCTTTACCTGAACAGCATGGGATAATTCAGTCATGAGGCTTTGCCGTAGCTTCTCATCACAGGGGATTCCATGCAGTACAAAGTCTGGAACGTAGGTGGGACAGTAGCCTCCAAACAGAGACAGGCCAAAGTTGGCAATGCTAGGCTTCGAGTAGTTTTCCACTAACTTTGCTCTGTAGGTCATGACATGAAAGAGTATTAATTTTAAAATGCTATATTCTGAATTCAAAGTTTAAAAGCATGAAGCCTGACAGGAGGCGTGCCTGTGCATCAATGACTTACCCAGGAAAGGGAACCAGCACTTCCTCTTGCCAGTCCTCCGTCTCCTCGCTCTCGCTGTCTCCCAACGCGCTGTCAGAGCTCTCATTTCGTGGGATTTCCCAGTCGTTGAGGGGAGCTATCTGGCACTTTTGGTCCTTATTACCGCTTCCATCTTGGGGGACAGAGACAGTCAACACAACGTCTTGGTCTTGCTCAGCAGGACGGCTCCGGCAACAGGCGTCAGAGGAGTCAGTAGAACCACACCTGCACCTCCTCCGAACATCAGATAAAGTGTATCCCTTCTTGCTGGACTCCACCTCCCCAATACTTGAACCTAAACAGATGCCCAAACCCTGAGCCCTGCCTGCACTTTGGCAGCTGTGATCCCTCAGGTCATGAAGCCGAGGGATCCCTGATGGGTTTGGTAAATGTTTGTGCGTAACGTCTGTGGTGGTGGCCTCCTGTTTGGCCACATCGTCTATAGTTCTAATCTCCACGGGGTTTTCTGAACTGAAGTACTCGTCAAAATCGTCCCCGCAGTTCAGGTTCCATTGGGGCATCTTGCTGGACACCCGCTGCAGCGCTGGAGTTGCCTTGGTCTGTTTCGTTTGGTCCTCTGATGCACTGGTGTTGCTGGTCTTTGAATGTGCTCCTCTGGGAAGATTATATTGTTGCTGCAGATGAAGAGGCTGCAGGTGAGAGAGTTGGTTTTCCATGAGTTTCTTGTACTTTTTTATTTCCATCTGCATCTTCCTTTGTCGGCTCTCTGTATCCGACTCTGGAGACATGGAGTCACCAATAAGGAAGGTGACTTTTGTTGCCGGCTCTTCCTCCTCAGCTGAACTCAGGGCCATGGGTCCTGGCATGGGTTTTCCTGGCATTACTGGTATCGGCACTGCTCCAACCAGGTTCTCATCTGGGGGCTTCTTCACCAAAGAGATGCCCAAAGCTTGAAGAGCCTGCACTTTCCTGGGCTGACTCCCCACTTCAGAATCCATCCCAACCCCAAAGGTCTTACTGTCTATAGTGGCAGAAGAGTTGGAAGGACTTGATGGAGGAACTATGTGTGTAGATGGAATAAGTTTTATGTCTCCCTTGGTCTCTGTGTCCAGCACATGGCTCTGATCCTTGGGACAGGTTGAGCCAACCTGCAGTACCGTCTCCACCCTCACCTCAGAGGCCAGTGGGCTGTTGGACTCCCTTTTTAGTTCCCCAGCTTCAGGTACAGCTAAAGTCTGCAGTTCATCTTCTGCAGTCCTGATAATAGAAGCTGCACCTTCAGTGGGCCTTGACTGAAGAACACTACTCCTGGATCCTTGACTGTTATTGCTGTACTCCTCGTATTCTTCGTTGTCATTTTTCTCTTTGAGCATCTCCCTACAGCTGTGCTCCATCTCAGTGTCTGTGTATGTGCTGCTCTGGAGGCTGTTGTCTGAAGGGTAGCTGCCGTCTTCAGCCTCAGTCTGCTGGCTGCTGGTCCCTTGCGACAGATAATCTCCACTGGGCTTATGGACAGTAACTAGGACGTAGTCTGACTCCTCTATCTCCCCCTTCCTGAGTGAGGTGGTGATGAGAGAGCCAGGCATGACGATGGCCTCATCTTCAGCACTGTCCAGCATGTGAGTCTCCAACAGTTCAGAGCAGCGGATGAAGTACGTAAGGACATAGAGGAGCCTCTGGACCAGATCCTGTCGGCGGCCAACCACCACTGTCCGAGACAGCCGTACTGGTGACCCTATGGCCCCGTAAAGGTCCCCTGCAAACCAGGACAGAAAGGACAAAATCAGAACTTTTTCAGCTTTAATGCCAAACTGAAAAGTTTGTAAACAAGTCTGCACCTTCTCTAAATTTTCCCTCCACATTTGCAATGGGCTGCAATTCCTAGTTGTGACCATTAGGTGTCACCATCACCTCATTTTCTAAAGGCTTGAATTTCTCATCATACTCAGATGCTTCTTTAATAAATTACTTTCTAGAAGAAATTAAATATCACTTAAATATGTTCATTCATAAGCAGCATACTTGTTTAGAAACAGGACTACAGATTTCTACCAGGGCAAGTTTCTTCACTGAAAAATAAGTTTCCTACATGAATAATTAAAAATAAGTACATATAGAGGGGTCTAACCAGCATGTAATTTTGAAAGTGCTTTTGTATCTGTGTGGTCAACGTAAAAAAATGTAATGTCTCGTTTAAAAGGCTACATTTTACAACGCAGACCAAGTCAACAAGCCCAGAAGACTTTCATTAATGTTACATGAAGAGAAGACAGATTTGTTCCAACTTGTCTTTATGCTGTAATGATAACAGTGCCTTGGTTTTAAAATGTTACTCCCCCCTCTCAACGAGACTTTTAACACAAAATAATATGTTTCTATTGAGCACAAGTTATTGTGATTTAAAGTCTCACCAAGCTGTGCCCAGAGAGGGTTGTAGGGATGCGTCTTTGCCAGCATGTCGACGCTTTGTGAGGAGTGTTTCTCGAGGAAGATTTTAATTGGAGGCTGCCCATTGGGCATGACGGTGGGTACCCAGGCCAGATGATTGGTCAGGATGGCTGTTAATAAAGCTGGGAGGAATCTGGAATGTGGGAAACAGCGTGGTTAGAGGGAAAAACGTTAAAGAAGGCCTAACTTTACCTTACTGGTTAGTTTCTATCAGTTATGATAAAGTTTAAATGTTCTCGTTTCCTTCCTTTCTCTACGTAGGAAACTTTGGGCAGACCTTTGAACTTGTGAACAGATCGACACAAAACTCGTCAACAGTTTGCAAACCACATCTATTCAGAAACTCAAAGAAGTGACACGCACTCAATTCACATGATTCACTTCTCAGTTCTGACCACAAGTTCCTACTTCCCGTCGTGCCTCGTGACTCAACACGGTGATGGAAGTCTGGTTTCATCACGTGCCAGAACACAGTTGTGACAGCGGCAGCTATCAGTCATGGGATCACCGATGGGATGCCTCATCAAAGACATGATGTGATACAGTAGACCAGATGTTCCCATGGTAACACGACACATCACAGAGTCAACATGTACAGATAAGTTGGGTGTAGGCCAGACTAACCAGTAATAGTAGAAAAATTGACTTTTTTTTTGGAAGGAAACAAATGGTTACCTAGGAGACAGTTTCTATTCTCAGGCAACAGTAATGAGCAAGCAGGAAATTACAACCCTAATCTGCAGAAACTCACACTGGACTATGCAATAAAAGCATGTTCACAAAAATTAACCATTTATTAATCAATAAGTGAGTTTAGCAGTTACATTGTTTTTCTGGTTGGTTGTATCCAAAGGAAATATTTAAAGTATGTACCTACCATGGTTAGATCGTATTATAAAATATATATTTAAGATGAATGTAGATTTAAATCCTCTTCTTGGTTTGGCAGTATAATTAGTTCTAACTATATCTTTTTTTGTGGTGCAGACTTCTCAAGTTATTTATAAAACTCAAATTATTTAGCCTTTGTTTACTTATACAATTATGTGTATACTGTTTATTATTATTATTATTAATATTATTATTATTATTATTATTATTATTATTATTGCTATTATTATACAAAGGCACTGTACATTTTTTGATAGTGTGTACACGTGGTGTGTAAAAAATGTGTACTTACAGGCCTGATAACTATATATGAATAAAACACCCAGATAAAAATATGAACAAAAAACTAATGAGGATTTTTATTGTCCACGTAATAAAAGTGAATGAGGAAAAAATCAGCTCTGTCCAGCGAACACAACATGAAAAATAAATAAATAAATCACTGAATATGTTCAATAAAAGCCTCGCTACCAATTCAAATGTGCACAAGTGGCAGTGGTTTTGTAACGGCAACAATAAGCAGTTAGAGGCTGGCAGGGAGCGTCTCATTCAGCTTCTTTTGAGGCAATAAAAGGAGGCTGAAACAGTCACAGTGGGAGTGTTTTGTGCAGAGATTGTGATCATGAATTTACATGTTAACAAGCTTGTTACTCCAGTACAAGTCAAGAAAATTTAGAATAAAACATTTGTAAACGTGCATGCTTCCTCTCCTGATAATTGAGGTCAAGTTGCAACTGTAAATCAAAAAGGTTTGTTGTATGACCTTAAACCCAATAAAAACAGTTTTAATGTTGGAAAATTGATGCTTGAGTACTAATGTATCTGATTTCAGCCCTTTACCTCTAAAACTTGACATTAAATAGGTTATAAGAAAAGTAGATAAGACACTCAACTGGTTCTTGGAGGCCTGCTCCATCAGCGAGGACAGCTCCCTCATGAAGAGGCCGCAGAGCTGGTTCTTCTCTGATGCACCTGACATCATAGTCAACCAGACGGGCTCGGCCACACGGGGCATTGTGTAGAGGTCACAGATGGTCATCCTGGAGAAGAGGTGAGGAAGGGATGAAAGAATGAGGGGGTGGGGGGGTAATAAAAAGGGAATGAGGGGGGAAAGACAAAACGGAGAGAGAACAGACAGATTATTGTCTCTTGGAAAACAAAGGCGATCTGAGTTCACAGAGCTTCACTGTCTGCACTGAGGCCATGGGAGATTCTCACTGTGTCCGTTTGTCACAGGCTGACGAGCTTGTGTGCGTGCACGCACATCTACATGCATGTTGCTCAGCTTGGATGTTTGTCCATTGAGAAGGACTGGAGTTTTCCACAGAACGTGGGACGTTGCACGTCTCGACCATAGGCCAAGCTTTCGCACAGGGGCAGAGGAGAATCTCTGCAAATGTCTGAGCAATGTGGAAAAAATGATATAATGCAGCTGCCGAGCTCGGAGCTCTACAAAATGTATAAAAAAAATTAAAAAAAAGTGGAGGGATCAACTTTGCAATCTTCCACAAAACAAAAACGCTCAACCTAAACATAAACTGAATCAGCTGCTATCAGCGCTGGTGATCAGTCACAAGACTTTCAGTGCTGTTGATAAGAACTGAAAAAGCACTAGCTCATTGATTTTGTCCAACGAAAAGCACCTCAGACTGTAAACAAGGTCGACTCAAAACCTTTGACCCACAAAGAGTCAGTAAAATGAGAGCTACAAAGGCCAACGGCTGAGAAAAAATACAGGTGTCACAAATTGAGATGTGACCTTCAGCTCAAGTTTAAACTATTTTAGGACAGAAGTGGTTCCCCAAAGAATAAAGGAACACTTTTGCTCCATGAATTCACAAGAAATTTATAAAAAGAAGAACTTATGAAACACTGCAATACAGCTGTCACAATGTATTTCCATTTAACTTGGTGGTTCAGTGATGAAACCACTAACTTGCTTTCCCAAGACTAATTTCAAATAAGTAACATTTAAAAGAAGTCTGTGTACTGTTGTTTTAGTCTCTTCATTAAGTTCCTTAGGAGATTATCTTTTTTTTTATTTAAGAAAACTAAAATAAATGATTTCTTACTCTGTTAATTTATCTTTAGCTTGTATTGTTAATGCAATATTGTTCTAGTAGAGAAACAATATTAAGTAAATGTTAACATTTGACCTGAGTTATCCTAACATTGTGAGATCATTTCTAACAAAGATTAATTTATTATGACAAACACCGAGCAGAATAAGTACAGCAGAAATTGGAAAGAATAAATCTGAGACGCAAGACTCTGGTTACACCAGCTGATCGCTCAGTTTCAGAGTCAAGTAACCAATAACATTTAGGACATTCCTGTATTCAACAGGTCGACTTGTCTTTGGCTTTAACCCACAATAGGGTATATATTACAATAAGCAATGGACACTTCTGTCTGGCAATGGAGGAGGGGGCATACCATAGAGACCATCTTATCACAAGCAGAACTGGTTTGTTCCACTTTGAAGAAAGCTGTTGGGGGAAGAATCAGTTTTGTTGTGCGTTTCCTTGACTGATGAAGCCTTCCGGGCCGAAGGCGAAACGTTTCAGCGCAAAAAAATAAACTGCCCAGATGACCTGACTGAAAAATGTTGGATATTACAATAAGGTAAAAAAACCAAATAGATATGTAGGATAAAGCAAAAACATGTAAGAATGGCAATTTTTTATGTACATTTTACATGTTGTGTCTGAGTTTATTTTATACTGCATTTTCCACCGTACACGTCGCACTGCCTTATTAGTTGCATCAGTCCAAATATGTCTACTAAAGAGGGGAAAAAAAACAAATATGTTGCTTTGCCGTATGAGTCGCATCTATTATGGGTCACCACTGACAACCCGGAAATGTGGGCCAGTGTTGTACCAAAAAATCGATAGGCTGACAAATGGCAGCTGCAGGAGCGTGCACGGGAGGACTTTAACGAGAATTTAACAAGATTAACACTTAAAAACAATTATTTGTTTGCTTGATATTATAGTAAAAGTGTGTCTCAGTTTAACTTTTCTTTAATAAATGCACTTTGATGGTCAAATCAGATGCATTTCAAAACATGATTCGCGGAAGTGGGCAGAGGGACAACTCGCTGTGCATTTCTTTAAAATTTAACAAGATAAACACCTAAAAACAATTATTTGTTTGCTCGACATTATAGCAAAGGTGTGTCTCAGTTGAACTTCTACTTAATAAATGCACTTCAATGGTCAAATTAGCTGTATTTCACTGGGGCGGCGCAGTGAAATGAAGCTGATTTGATGGTTGCTCCAGGCATGATCTCAGAGCTGGATGACGGTAGCAGTCCGTGGCAAGCCGATTGTGTCATTAATAGCCACTTTTACCTATTACGTGACAATGGCATGCCATACTCCTCAAGTGCCATCTAGCGGCTGAAAACGGTAGTGTTCAATATTTTCAATGTTAGAATAAATGAAAACAGTCATATCTCAGCCAAAAATTGGTTGATAAATATGGGGAAAAATCTATAAATATGTTGCTTCGACATATAAGTCGCAGGGTGTGCAAATTATGCCCAAAACGGTGACTTATAGGTGGGAAAATACAGTACCACCTGAGTCAAACACATGGTTTTAGTGTTTGACACTTTTGAAGCAGCTTATTTTGACCTACAAGAGAACTGCATCTTTTTATAAATGCACGTGGCCACAATGGATTTGGACTCTAACCCTGCAGTTTTAAGCGTTGACCCAGAACTCATGTTAGTCCTCCAACTACAGGCCCTAACAGAACCACAGTGCTGTCTGGAGTGACACCTCTGCTTAATGTTGCAGCTTATCTTTGCCAGCATGCATTCGTGGCTGCCCTCCAATGACGTCAGAGCCACATCATCAAGGAGGAAAGGAATTTCTTCCAGTGTCTTCCTGCAATGTTCCATGAAGTCAAAACCACTTAATGCTAATATGACCAACACTATATGCAGCTGCTGTCTGAAGGTGAAACTTTACAGATATTTTGCAAGTCTGGGGCACAAGCGTTTCTCCTGCTGGCACTCACTGTTTACTATTCTGGTGCTTGCTTGTGACCAGAGTCTGAGGTAGATAGGGTTGCCACTCAGACAGCTTGGGTTGCTCAGGCCAGGTGTCAACAGGAACATGAACGCAGCAATGACGAGACGTCGATCAGGGAGCTGCCAGCATATGAGCAGCAAGTGAAAGTAGTAGTTGAGACGGAGAAGTCCATGCAGAAAGCTAACGCGCACTTTTTATGGGAACAAAACACTAATTCAACAGTTGAAAGTGTGCTTTCAACCATGCACACTTACACTATTGTGCAGCTTATTGAGCAAAAAAAATGTACAAGTTGATATATTAAATATAACCACAGATAAAAGGTTAAATCTTTCTTGAAACTGATTTTATACGGCATATAAAAATAGTTTGGTCAGTCCTGGCAGAGAACAAAGTGTTTTCTTTAGCTGAACATTTTGCAACGTCTCTGATCTCTGCGTGCTTATAAAATACCAAAAAAGAACAAAAAACAAAGAACTGTTTAATTTGCCTCATTTGCACAGTTTTTTTTTTTTTTTTTTATAACTGATGACAGGGCATGTGAGCACTACTCACCTCGACTTTTCACACAGCCTCCTTCAGTGTAATACAACCACCACCAAATGAACAAACCATTAAAATGTCAGGTTTTTTAAAAAAAGCCAGGCTGTTTGTAGGCTTGGTTCAAAGCTATTACAGCAGGTTGTTAATATATAATTTTCTTGACGTTTGATATTACAAAAAATCCTAAACACCTGCTTAGTAAATGATTGGGGTTAAAACACATACCAT